GGGGCAGGAGGAAGGCTTTGAGGCCCCCGGGGCAGCAGTGGGGTCACAGCGATGGCGTGACTGGCCGCAGCCCCTGTGTGAGGAGTGCCGAGCTGTTGCTGTGCCAGGGGCTGGGGCTCTGCGCAGCAGAAGGTGGGGGTCCAAGCAGGCTCCTAAAACTGCCTGGCTGTGCAGGGAAGCTGGCACGGGAGAGAGTCGGCAGCCACAGCCAAAGGTGACAGCTCGAGTTTCTGACAGTGCTCAGCAGCTGCAAGTGCTGCCCAAATGCTTCCGTGAGGAGGGGAGGAAACGGCTCTTGAAACAACTCTAATACATGTTCGTCTGCAGAAAACCAGTGTGTTTTTTCCTTTCTTGATGCTAAAAACTGGTTTCAGCCGCCTGGCATTTCTTATAAACAAACTGTTGGTGTTAGCAAGAGTTTCAGTGCCCTGAGTCTGCCCAGTTTAAAACTGCCAGTACTAGAGCGTTAGTTGGCCTTAGGGCACTGGCTGTTGCACTTACCCAGTGTTTGGGCTAAGCTCTCTTCATTTTCCAGCAACTCTTGGCAATGTCAGAAATACAGAACCAGAGAGCTCTCAGGTATATAATCAGCAGCAAGAAGTCATTGAGCAAACTGGCTTTGTGTCAAGAGTAAGACTTTATTTCAGGTATTCTTTTAAGTAATTTAAGAAATCCTTTGTTGTCCACCATACCCCCTGATACAGTGAACTATTTCATTTGCTGGTATGCTCGTGTAGATTTGCCTTGTAAGTGTTTGCAGTAAGCTAAAACCAGTCCTATAGCTAAGGAAAGAGAGATAAAAAACTTTTTCACTATTTGCACTAATTTTACTTTGCCACTATCAGCAAACACAAAAACAATGAAATAGAGTTTCTATGGGTTTAGGTTGCTGCTCAGTAGAAAATTTTCAGCACTTTTGGTACGTCTTCTTCTAATACTGGTGATTTCCTCTGGCTGCCAGGCTGCAGGAATTTCTTTATTGTGGGAATATTGCTTATTCTTGCTTTAAAACTCTGCAAAACAAAACCAGAACAGCACCATGCTTAAGAACCATGATAACTGTCAGACATTTAGATGCTATCCGTGCTCTAAAAGTAACATTATAGGTTGATCCTACAGAAGAATCTATGTGCTTCATCCTATTATGTTTTTGTGACTATAGTGAGAGAATGCAGCAATAACTATCAGTATTTGGGGCCAGCTAAAAGTACTTAGAATATATGGTTTTGATTTGGTCTTCCACTTCTTTCCTCGCCCTCCCACTCTCCCATATTTCTCAGTCAGTTTAAATCAGTGGTCCAGTTTTGATTTGTTGTCCATTCAAACTGTCTATTCAATTACCTGCAAGAGAGGAAATTTGGCAAGTATACCAGGCTTGTCCTCTTCTGCCATTAAAAGGATTTCAAGTAAATGCACATCTGCCCTGCTAAACTGGTTGCCAACAAGAAAGTCTTGTCTGTGGTCTTTCAAAACCTAAAAACAGAGAACCAGAAGCAGATGTAATTTTTTAATCCGTGTGACTTGATACAGTATCTTCAAAGCAGGGTCATACACTTCATGATGTATCCGTGAAAGAAGGAAATGCAGTAAGAACATCTGTAGTATAAACAAATTATCTGACCACACTGTCGTCCCGCGCATAATTTGTCAGTACTTTCTCTTCTGCATTTCTTTCTGGCAGCTGAGTTGTACCCCTCTTGCCTTCACTTCTGTAGCTCATGTAATCAGCGCTGCTGTGTTGAAGGCTAAGCTTTATAGGATACAACCATCGCTGGAAATGCCTATACACAATTTACAAGAGTTCAACCCAGGGCATAGTAAGAGTATCTTGGACTCTTTCAAATTATGGTCGACTCCCTTACTTCTCACCTATTTCCTCTTCAATTTTGGGAATATTGCATTGGGAGCTCTGCACCTGTAACCTGTGCCTCATGGTCTTGACACCCAGCTAATCCATCCTCCCTTTTGTTACAGAAGGAACTGTAATGCTTTTACATAGCCTGTATGGTAAGATAGGGTTCTGCACTTCGGGAGGAAACTTTATGTAAAAACTGATGCTGAAACCACATACAGACTGAAACATGGACATTTGGGGATCTCAATGTGTCCTGGGTTTTTGCAGCTCTACATCTTTCCCAGATTTATAGTACCTTTTGTACCCTCTGTAGTGTCCTGTCTCCATCCTCATCCCAGACCCACCAAAACCATAGCATTTATATATAAGTAATTTTTCTTCTCTGTTTTCCGTGATAAAAATTGCTTGTGTAGATCATGGATGGAGTTTCAGGAAAACAATATTAATTAAGCTGGGATATCATTGCCATGTACCTTCTCAAAGACTGGAAAGTATCTGTTTGTGGCCTTGTCCACCATATTAGCAAAATGTTGCTCCTTTTTATCTGCTGGTTGGAAAGGATAGCTCATGAGTAACTCGTTCAGATCCATCAATGCTTCCACGTACATATCAATTCTGAAAGAAATAGATCCAGTTGGTCAAGTCAAATGCAGTAAGTCTGAATAGCATGATAGCTACTGGCATAACCCCACTGAGATGCTAGGAACTCTCCGCCTCTTCTATCCAGTATGCACAGCTTGGAGCAGTTCCCCCAGAGTGCAGTAGCTTCCAGAGTCAGGATGGGGGGAGTATGGGTGAAAGATAAGTACAAAGTGCCTAACCAAAACCTAAAAGGTTGTACCCCTTCCATTTTTCACTAGGGGTGATACTTCTCTGCATTAAGTTTTTTTTAACCTGAGCACAAAATTGGCATGTGTGTCATCCAAACTTGTGTTAAAATCCAATCAGACATGGTAAGTTAAATAGTAGGTCTATACAAGTCCTAACAAATATCCGGACATGTGTTTACCAATGCTAATTAACTTGAAGCATTTCAAAGTACTTCAGGTCAAACCATGAGCCCTAAGAGCCCTATGCTTTAATAACCGATTATTAATTCTAGTTCTAACTCCTGGTTATTAGAGAGAGAAGTTTTTTGTTTCCATCAAAGATATTTCCCTGAATTTGATGTGATGAAAATGCTTGCTACTGACAACTGCAGGAGAAAGTGAAAAGGAGCATCAGTAAGACAGTCTGCCCTCTGCACTCCTGACTGCTTTCTTCCAATAACTGGATTGACCTTTGATTTTTATTAACTCCCTTGCACTGTGCTGCCTATCTAATCTAGCTGGTTATTACTGTTGTAATCATCACCTGCAGTCACAGTCAACACATGCTCTGTGAAAAGCTGCTGCATCACCCTGAATCTAACTGTGAACTGGGATATTCTTGTGTTACACAGAGACGCAGTATGAACTGTAGTCTAACAAACAAAGGTGGTACTGTTACAGTACAGGGCTCTCTCCTTCAGGTCCTTCCCATAGAGGTTGTACTTTGCTGCTACGTAGTTGAGGATGGCTCTAGTCTGCACCATCTTCATCCCATCGATCTCCACCATGGGCAGTTGCTGGAACATCAGGGATCCATCTAGGTAAAAGGGGACAAGACAAGAAGACTTCAGTCTCTGAATGAGAACCATTAAGGGGTGTTTGGCAAAGTAACCACATGTATTATTTTTTATTTAGGATCATAGAATCATTTAGGTTGGAAAAGACCAATCATCAAGTCCAACCATAAACCTGACACTGCCAAGTTCATCTCTAAACCATGTCCCTAAGTGCCAGATCTTTTAAATACCTCCAGGGATGGTGACTCAACCACTTCCCTGGGCAGCCTGTTACAGTGCTTGACAACCCTTTCAGGGGCAGTCTTCCTCATTCTCACAAGAAGGTATGGAAAAAGCTTACCGTAAATCAAGAACTATTTCTTAGGGACATGTTAATAATATTATAGCAAATAGATTCTTGAAGTTTCTTAAAATCTGAGGAAGCACCCAAATGCAGAACTTTTAGCAGTCATACACTAAAAAAAGACAAGTCCTGTGCTGCAGGATGATTTTAATGGAGGTTAGTACAGATGAGAAGGACTGAAGGATCTGACCCAGGCAGTTTCTGTTATCCTTTGATAAGTATTATAGAAATCTGGACTATTTAAGGGCTTGTTGACAAAAACCTGTATTGTCATAGGATAGGAGGCAATGGGCAAAAACAAAGGAGAGTCAATCATCTGAACTTAAGGAAAGGCTTTTTTACTGTGAATGACACTGGCATGAGTTGTGCAGAGAGGCTGTGGAGTCGCCATCCTTGAAGATCCTCAGAACCCAAGTGGACACTGTCCTGGGCAATTAGCTCTAGGTGGTCTTGCTTGAAAAGGGGAGATGGAGCAGAGAATCTCGAGAGCTCCCTTCTTTCCTCAGCCCTTTTGTGATTCAGTGAAGCAACTGGGTGGATAATACCATCTAACACACTGCAGTGCGCATCTGTGATACCTCATGTACAATCCAGTCTAGATTTTCTTTTTAAGAGATATAAGACTTCTTAGGTGTTCTCAGACAAACTATTATTATTATTATTATCTAATTATTAAAAAGTGAAATAAACTTACCCTTCTGTAACTTTATCAGATCATCCTTTGTTTCCAGAAAACATTCTTCAAACTGCAGGAAATACAGAAGAAAAATGATGTTGTCACTGCATGTTTTAGCTTCTGCTTTGCATGACATACTGAGAGCACAAAGAGCTGTGTTTTGGGAAATATTGTTTTTTTAAAAAATAAATCACATTTGGAAGTTATATCTTTAAAAATTTATTTTGACTCTGTTGCACCCTCTCCTCTTCCCTCTCACATGTGATTACATTTTTGTGCAGGCAAGATTTTGGCTAAAGCTGAGGTGACTGAAAGGCACAAAGCCCTGTCTGCTCCGCAAACGATGACCATGTCACTTTTGGTGTCAGTGCTGGCATGAGATGGTGCAGGGGGAGAGGAGGATAGGTACGTTCACACTGCAGCAGCAGAACTGTGGTATAGTACCTCTGCCACAAGCTGGCAAAAGGAGGGACAAAAGGAAGAGATCATGTGCCCCATGCAGCTTTCTGGCATGTTGCCCATCATCATGACAAAAAACTCATAGCTCTTAAAACAGACAGGTCCCCCCAGTTTATTATCAGAATCCGATAGAAGGAAAAACAATTACTCTGAGTTTTATAATATACAGTACCTTCAGGGTAAGTGACTTTGTTGTAGGCATAATAGTTTTTTGCTCTTTTGGATGTTGGGATTTAACTAAAGGTCTTCAGAATTGAAAGTGCTCAGCCCCGTGATCAGAAGATAAGAAGTCAGGTTCTGCTGCTGTGGTTTTAATTTTTTTCTTTCACTGGCTACAGAGGAGAGGCATTTGCGGTGCTACCAGTAGGCTTGGCATGTGATGCTTGGAAGTGAAATGGGAACTTGCCCTCCTGGTTAGGGTAAGCTAGTTGTCATTGTTGGCTTGGTCAGCAATGCACTAAATGCAGAGCTTGAAACTGCTGGTCAGTCACATTTTTTATAAGGAACAGTAAAAATTCATATTTGTCACATGCTCTTAGTATAAAAAACAGAGACAAACCTCAACCCCAGCTGCTGCTAGTAGCCACCGTATTGTTTCCATTCGGCCTCGTCCATTGAAGTAGTGCAGCTTGGGTTTCCCGGACATGTTTCCACGTTCCTGATTTCCTATAGAATCATAGAATCAATCATAGAATGGTTTGGGTTGGAAGGGACCTTAAATATCATCTAGTCCCAACCCCCCTGCCATGAGCAGCAACCCCTTCCACTGGATCAGGTTGCTCAAAGCCTCATCCAACCTGGCCTGGAACACTTTCAGGGAGGGGGCATCCACAACTTCTCTGGGCAACCTGTTCCAGTGTCTGACCACCCTCACAGTGAAGAATTTCTTCCTAATATCTAATCTAAACCTCCTCTCTTTCAGTTTAAACCCATTTCCCCTTGTTCTATCATTAACTGCCCTTATGAAAAGTTCCTCCATTTCAGATCTGAAATAAAGAATTAAATTTTGCAAAATAAAGATTCAGAATGCTGGTTTTGAGTCTCTAACTGGTTCCCAAGCATTGTTCAAAATTGTCTTGTTTGAAACCAATGAGGTATGGTCCAAGACTCATCAAATTAATAGAGGAGGTAAAATACTATATTGAGAGACTGCACTGTATCATTTTGCCTTAAGATGTCTTTTATAGGTGCAGGTTAGTTAAGCAGAACTCCATACCGAGAGCAATCGGCTCACATCAGAAAACAAGCAAATCAAAACCCATTTGCATTCCAAAGTGTTCTGCTCTGACCAAAAAGCAGAGTGTGCAAGACACACTGCTCTCTTTTTTTTTGGTATTATCTCAGGATACAGTTTGTTGTTTAATCAGATACATGATATAAACTCAGCAATTGCTGTGCTTTCTCCAGCAGCCGTTATGCTCCATTCTAAAGTGACAGGAAGGATTTTTTTCCCCACGTTGTAAGCATTCAGAGTTATTTACAACACTCCCCAGCTCCTCTCATTTCTTTAGGCAAGCACCCGAAGCCATGGAATTTAATTTTGTCTTTAGTAACATTAGATTTGCCTTTACCACAGACAGAGCCAAAGTGCAACACCTGCTTGATCCAGTCCCAACTCTGCTGAAGTTTAAAGCAACAGTTTCTAGACAGACTGTCATCCACCCCATTCAGACCCAGTGCATGCACCTCAGCAGCAAACATGTAGACAGTGCCTAGTTTATACTAGTTTCACAGTAATTAACACTGGGTCAGCAATAAAGCTGAAGCATGAACAGTAACAAAAAGAAAATGGCTAAAAAGCCCCCATATTCCCTTTGTATGTAACACATCATCTTCTCTACAACAGGAAGAAGGGGGTGAGAGGAAGCACTCCACACTTCTGAGATCTAAATTCCTTTTTCTTAAATCTATATGCCTAGAACTGATTACTAATTCAACATTTGGTGCATGTAACCATGTTAGTAAAGAAAGTACATACAAGTATTGAATCCATAAAACCCATTCACTGACTTAGTGTCAAGTACACTAATTCCCTGTGCACGTCCAAAATCCAACAAGCTTACCTTGTACACAGTCCAACTCACTCTGAGCTCTCAGTAGCTTTGCCTTGAGATTATAAAAGTCTGTAGCCCCTCCTACAAAGAAAATTGCAAACTGTTCTCTGCCAATGGGAAACTACTAATTCTTAAACAAATAAAAATTACTAGGTCTGTGTAGTCACTTCTCACCTACAGAAAATAAATTCCTGACTCATGCTGACTATGTACAAATCTAAGATTCACAAAAAGTCATGATCATTGGGAACATCAGTGCCAGCAGAAAATTGTATGCTTCTGATTTTCATTGTTTGGCAACCTGCTAGTTAAAAATAATTGGAACAGCTAAAAAACTCCAATTATTTTTTAAAAAATACTGTGATAGCAATCAAAATTTTATTTTAATATTTTATGGTTTTTTTACTTTTAGCAGATTGCCACTTTACATAAGTCACATCAACTAATTCAGTCTGAATCCTTCATAAGCTTCCTTCCCTTTGTTAGTCATGGGGATTATTCCTTCAGGA